ACGATCCACTGTAACCAGTATATCGTGACATCGCTTTGTATGATTTTTACCGATAATTAAAGGTCATTTTATACTGGTTTTTTGATTAAGAAGATTCTGATGTGTAGCAGTATCAGCACCGGTAATACATGGAAATTATACAAGACTAGCTAATCTCTCGCGGTTTTACCCGCTGCTCGGCTCCATTTGATTGTAGCATGATGTTTAATAGCCTATATCACTCAGGAACATTGGTGAACGACCAGTGGTTCCAAAGATTACCCTCTACATACAAACTTACAAATTTTACCTCTTTATAATATTAGTATAGATAGATCGTGTCAAATCAATGAATGATATTCATATAAATTTTGATTTCACATTTCTACACTACATACTACAACATTGTTTTTTAGTCTTAGTCCTGTACGGAAACGTCCCTTTAAAAAAAATAAGTGTTATTTGCACAATGAAAACAATAACGAACAAACTCTAGAGTGGATAAGTTTCCCAAACTTTTATTTCCTAAAGCAGTTGTAACGTTTAATATTTTTCTAACAGCACCCATTAAGAAACAACTAAGTCAAAAAGATTCACTTAACGCGATAAAATACGATTGTTTTTATTTCTTCTGTATTGTTATGTTACTTTTTATGTACACTCTGGTACTCTTGTAATTTATGACTAAAGTTATTTGGCGCGTAAATAAGTATACTTAGTACCACCCCTTGTATTTAATTATTTAATCTAGTCACACCTTACTACTGCGAAATATGGATTACTAACACTATAAACAGTTTTTTTTCTGTATGGGACACCCAAATTTCGGCTTGAGTAGGTAGGTTCGACCAGACTGATACCTGGACCTCATAGAAAACCGGCGTGAAATAACCACAGCGATCCACAACCTCAATCCTTGCTCCTCTCCCCCCATCCCCTCCCCAATCTCTAAATCTCCAGAAAGGTAATCCCAAAAGGCCAGCAACGCACTCGTAACTCCTCTGGTGTTATTTCGTATGCTCGTTTGCCATCCGATGAAATAAAAAAAACAAACTTATTAGAACATACTAATATAACATTAAGCAAGTTTTAGTTTTAATATGGCCTTCTTTGTGTCAAGTAATACACAATAGAGGTAAAAAGCCATTACTTATTTGTATCAATCAAACTATTTTCTCCAAAAGATTAAAAGTCCTTGAAAGGATTGCTCAAAAGGTTTCATTAAAGGTGAAACTAAATATTGTATTCTCGCAAAACAGAAAATGGATAACAGGAGATTTAATATCACTTTTCAAATTTCTTGTTTCTCCTATTACCTAATACGTATTGGAAGAACATAAATGGCTGGCTTGTCAACTCATCCACGACACAGGAGAAAATTCTTATGTGAGGCAATGCTTTTTATATAAAACAAAAAAAATGCATATCATTATTCAGATCAATGATTACACTGTTTTATAGGTTAAGTACAACACTTAGCACGTTTTAGCCCCGACCCTTTCTTTAAATTACTAATAGCTATATTAATATTTATATTATACATATATTACCGCTTAGTGACTACAACGCGATTTTACTCCTCCTATACGGTTCCTATTAATTAGTACTATCGTGATATGTATACCTTTCTGGACTAATATCAATGTTAAATGTCAGATGTCAATGTCAATTTTATTGTCATTTTTTTTATTCGAGCCATTAGTTCAAAAAGTTCCATCAGGCAAATGAACAAGTAAACTCTTCAGCTTTATGATATGAATATGAAATAAAATTTATACGCAAAATTTTGAACAATCTTTTAGACCAAAGAGGGAAACTAACAAAAGAGGACCTACTCGTACAAAATTCGCTATATAAAAGTTTCATGCCAGTACTAGCCACTTTAGTGCTGAGCAAACGCTACAGGTGTATTCATTCCGAACCCTGGCTTTCCTACACGTAGCAAACTATGCATTAAGCCATTTTGCTTTTGGAATACGGAATGTAAAATAGCATAACGTCGCACCATTCAATTCATCAAAGCTGTAAGTAAAAATGCACTCTGCAAATATTTCATGAGACCCATTCATCCGCTATGTCATGAGACCTAACGGGTCTAATACCACAGAACGTTCATGTTTTTAGGCCTAGTGCTTTTACGATAAAATTATCAAGATTACAAAATGGTGCTATTTCCTACCCGCACCCACCCAATCAATGAAGAAATCATCATATAGGTACTTCTAGTTTACTGAATGTAAAAGCTAACAGACCACCACAGACGGGGCTCTACAGAGCCGATGTCCAGGGATGCGGGGCTAGAGGAATTTGGGACGCGGCCTCTGCCTAAACCTGGAGAAGAAACGGGTGGAGGAAATTTAGTCAGTAAGAGTCTGACACTCCTTCTCGCCTCTCCCTGGGCGAGAGAAGTCATTTGATGAAGATCCTAGTAAAGGGCTTATATAGACCAGGTTAGATCCAGTCTAACCTGGTCTATATAAGCCCTTTACTAGTATTACCGCGAAGTTAAGTATTGTCCAGTAGGATTGTGAACCTCAAAAAGTTAAAAGTATAATTTGTAAATTGAATAGAAGTAAACTACGGTGTAACTTGAAGTGTGTTTTTTCTTATAACTGCAAATGCCGAGTTACTCAGTCTAAAATGTAGTCTACTGAAAGTTTCAAACCTAAGTAATTCAGACTAGTTATTTAAATAAATCATATATAACAAAAAGAGTACATCTATCAAAACACAGACAGTAGAAAATGTTTACAAGTTTGCAATATCTGATATGCAACGGACTGTCGGAGTGATCTAAACATCTAGTCGGAATCCTGGCCGTCTGCCAACCTAACCATTGTGCCGAAGAAACCCCAAAATAGGTACATCAACATTAAATAGTTTTATTGTGATCCAATAGATTTCGTTGAGCCAGTTATTATTGAGCTATTTTGGGATCGAAGTGATCATCTCTACTTTGTTTGGTTTGATATTATGATTGGGCGTGCGAGGGTTTGATTTAAAAACGTTTTTTCTCTGTCGGACATTAAATATTATGATAGGGGAATTGCTTGGTAGGGTAAGTGTAGTAATTGCTTGTTAATTGTACCTTTAGTAAAACTGAATTAGTTGTCTTATTCATACTTGAAAGTCAAACTCAAGATCGTTCATTTCATTTAGACCAAAGCGACATTCTTGAATATTAAAAGTGTAAAATAATTTTGACGGTCATTAATGTTGATCTAATTGCTTGACTATTTCATAGAAAAACAAACCTAAGAATTGCTCTAAAATAATTTTTAGGTTTGAACACTGGGTGAACTGGGTCCAAATAAGCTTAGTAACTTTAGTAAATAAATATCTTTTATAGCATTGTGCATCGATACTTTCTACGCAAGTCTGTAAACTAAGGGTAAAGCTACTTATTGAAGAAATTTTCTCGTTCGTTTTAAAATCTTATACATTATAAAGAAAATGCAGCACATGACGTGAACAACGAAAGTTTTGCTTCAAAATTTTACATTGTTGCAACATGAGTAGAAACCCGTCTGTACTGAGGTTTAAATTCTTAACAAAAGATCCACGGAGTGACGTCATTCATGGTATATGTACCTATTGAAAGCTAGACAACTGAATAACATATCCAAAAGTCTTTTAAAAAGTTTTTCGGGGGAAAAAATTACATAAAAATATTAACGCAGCGCCCAGACATCGTAATTCGAATGATTCCTCAATTAAATTTGTTCGAATATAATAATATTATTGTACCTACTAATATGTAAATATTTATAAATTTATAAATAATTAATTTATAAATAAATTACCATTAACAATGAAATACATTGTATTGTAGTTAAATTATTAAATATGTAATTTATATATTAAATAAAAAAAATATTAAGTAGCGAAATTAAAGAGAGAAAGAGAGAAGAAGAAATAGATATTAAAGAGAGTTTATACGGTACAATTTTACGAATATTACGAATATATATTTTTATTTCGGATATCCAATAGTTCCGGTTATGGTAACAGTGCTTCATTATATCTCTGGTAATTACTTTGGTGTTACTCGTTTGGTTGGTGGCGAACCGCCATGACATCGAAAAGGTTGGCATTACCTGATTTTCCCGCGTTCACGCGTAACGCACTAATTTTTACAATTTATAATATGTATACTTACATGTATGTACCTATGTATTCTGTTATTATGTTTTGGATCAATAATTTATAATAAATTAAATTAATATAAACCACTCATTAAATAATATTAACGACTATCAAGGTTCAATTGTTAATATTAATATATTATCGAGAAATATTTATTTATTTATTTATATATTCTTTATTGTACACAACATTAAAATTTAACACAAAGAGCAGGCTAACAATCACAGAGTGTACAATGGGCGGTCTTATCACCCACTGTGATTTCTTCCAGACAACCTTTGAAATAGTTAATTTATTATACACATTGTAATGAGTACGGGCAATCAGATTGTCTATAATGCTCTTATGATATTTTATATTGTGTATAAATAAATACAAACAAAAACCAACAACACTTTTTATTACAAATAACTACAACTACGAACAAAATATACCATAATATACTTTAACACATTTCCGAAAAAAAAAAACATTTTTATTCTTCTTAATACAAAGTAAAAATAATCATTTTTGTAATCAAGAAAACACTATGTATCTTATCTTTAAACCAAAAAAAACCTAGTTCACCAGTTCTTTTTATTTCGCAAAAAAAAACTAGTAGGAGTGCATGAACTACGGCGTCTGTTTACTGTCAACAGCCCAGCAAGCTTCATTGTTACTATCGCACTATAAAAAAAATCGTTAGCTGCGCAAAGTTGCGCAACGCCGCTGATGAATAAGAACCCTTAGCGTAGCTTGAAACTAAACGTTTCTCATCAAACACAATATGTAGCTACATGACTCAGCCATTGAACATTGAATACATACATAATAATTAATTTAATGTCAAATGAAAGCTATCGCACGAAGATCTAAAATTACTTATTTTGTTTCAGATACCTGTCCAACATTGCAGTATCTCCATGAATTCATAGGTAAAATTTTATTTAAGAAAGCTTTTTTTAAGGAAGAAACCGTGTTTTGTTATTTATTAATTGATCATCATAATCATCATTTCAAGAAATCGTGATATTTTACTACGTCCTCTTTACATACCTCCACGTAGAGTGGTCGCTGTTAAAATATTTCAGGTGTATCAGAGAGCACTGGTGCCTTTAAAATCTACTTTTTGGTCGGCTATCATGGTACTCAGTAGCAGTTTTGACCAATATCAATAGTCTACATCATATAGATTGTTGACAGTTAATAACAGTGCGATTTTAACGAAACTTTCCGCCTCGCACAGAAAAATATTGGAATTATCTTTTGGCGGCGGTTTTCCCAAACCGACAGGAACTTCAAGCATTGCCGGCAGCGAATGCGCCTGTGACTCCTCTGGTGTTGCAAGGTGTCCATGGGCGGCGGTAATCACTTAACACCAGGTGATTTGTACCATAAAAAAATAAAATAATAATGTTCTACACTGCCAACACTAGCTGTGGCTTTATCAAGTAGGTTACTTTAAATGGTATATGTATATACGTATGTATGTATATGTTGATCAATGTATTCACATGATCTCCAAAACGGCTCTAACGATTTCGATGAAAGTTACTTAGGTTCCCTTTTCAAAAAAATAAATATACCAGGCAAAGCTCGGTCATCCTGGTACTATTTTATTCTTGTAGCAATTTAAAGCGAACATAAATCAATCTAGCTGTACTTACCTACATTGCACAATTTCCTCGAGGCCAAGGCGTCAGGTAGGAACTCTAATATAATAACCCTGGGAATCTATCTAGTGGCCAATAGATCTAGATTCTAGACTAGTCTAGATATTTATTACATTAATGTAAGTACTTTTAGCACTAAGTGGTTTACTATCGGCTGCCGAAATACAGCTTTAAAATAACATTATAAAAGTTCAATTTTAAATTGTGTACGTTTCCAAATATTAGCCTTTTATCACATGTTTTTTTTAAAAATACCTATATATAGATCGAATAGAAATCTATGTAAATATTGAGTGTGAATGGAATCTTTACTAATATTATAAAGAGGTAAAATTTGTAAGTTTGTATGTAGCGAGTAATCTGTGGGACCGCAGGCCGGATTCCCAAAATTCTTTCACTGATAGATAGATACAATATTTCTGAGTGCTATCTATAGGTATATATTAAAATCAATGCCACTAATTTTGGTCTTGAATTATTCGTCGAAATCCAGAAAAGGTTTGTACGAAGAGAAACTTTAAACGCTGCTCTTTTCAAATCCGTGCTTGCATTACTTTTATACGCGGGCAAAACCGCGGTGTAAGCTAGTCGTAAATAAATGCACATCGGTTCAACAACCAAATGAACCAAGCGACGCGACGTGTCAAAGTAGACTCTTTTTAAAATATACAGTTTGGTGAACGTGTCTAAAGTACTGTATACTTTTTGAAAATAAATATTGATTCGATTGATATAGGTGTGGTAAATAAAAATATATATGATAACAATCTATTTTCAGATCAAAATAAATCCTAGTGTTCGTTTATTTTCGTATTCGTACTTCTTTTGCTTAAAGATTTGAAACAGTGGCGTGATTCATTTAGAAATATGTTGTCCTTGCTTGCACCCCCGTAGTGGTTTAAAGTAGCCTATGTATTGTATTGTTGTATCAACTATATACATACCAACTATCAACCAAATCGGTCCATCCGTTTTAGCATGTATACATTCTCACTAACATTTATAATATTACTAGCTACTCTCGCGCGGTTTCACCCGCTGCTCGGCTCCATTTAATCGTAACGTGATGTTTTATAGCCTGAAGCACTCTGGAACATTAAAGCTATCTATCAGTGAAAGAATTTTGGCAATCCAAACAGCGGTTTCAAAGATTGTCCCCTACATACAAACCTACAAATTTTAGAATATTAGTATTAAATCTTCCTAATATTAGTAAAGACTAGTAGGAAGGATAGAGTAGTAGGATTTCTCCATAACAACATAGTAGCTACATAGGTACACTATTATATTACACGATCTATACTGAATAACCCTAATCCACTGAAATTGTACACAACATAATTGAAATTACACATAAATGAGAAGATTAACTCCTAATCCCAACACATGCACCGTATAATCGTAATAATTACAAAACAAGACGATAATACCAAGTCATAAGATGCGAAATGCTGTGCTAACATATCAACTATGAAAAGCAATCTTACATCGTTGTTATAAGGTGCAATTTATTTCAAACTGTCACCTCCAACGTGCGGTTTGCTACAAATTGAGCCAATATGTTTGTGGAACAGATAACAATAGTTCTTGTTGTGTACTTGTGCACAATTCTTATCAAATTGGAAATCTTTGTGATTAATTGCGCCCATTAAATACTGGAGAGTATTGCGATACTAGTTTTTGGTGTAATATTGTTGAAGAGATGTTACTTTGAGTCTAAGGAATTATAGCTAGTATGGAACATAGAAGGCGGTAATAATAATCATTTTCAACATTTATTAACACGAGTGAAAATACCGTGCCTTATAGACAAAAAACGCTTACATACTTTGATACTTCGACAAATTCATTAAGGAATTTAGGATCACATTTGGAACGACTGCACGGTTGGCGCGGTGGCTGGGCAACTGGCTACCGCGCATCGTGTCGCGGGTTCGATTCCCGCACGGAACAACTCTTTGTGTTATCCACGGATTGTTGTTCCGGGTCTGGGTGTGATGTGCAGTGAAATTGTATGTTTGTAAACACCCACACTCGCACCTACGACACAGGAGAAACTCCTAGTGTAGTGCAACTTTTTTTTTTTTAAATACTTTAGTTGACCAAGATTATGTTTGAAATGTTATGTTATCTCTTCATGTTTGAGTCACCGCGGCCTCGGCCCAGAGCAGCAGAAGAAACGGGGGTCTTTTAGTCAGTAAGAGTCTGTCATTCCCCGCGCCTGACCCTGGGCGGTAGAAGTAATTGAATGATAATCGACTCCTCACACAAAACTCTCCATGTTATAATATCGTATTAGAAATATTTATTCCTGATACCGATATCGTTTGAAGAATATATTACTGATACGATATTTATTCCGTTACTAAATAACTACCTATTAGTTGACGATAAAATACGATACGAGGTAGTTCTTAAGACAATCAAGAAGCTCTTCAAACTATTTTGGTTTATAATGAGTACCTAGGGTAACTGATAACATATCAGCCAGCCATGAGTACTCAGTAGTCAGACTTTAATACGTTATCTAATAATTTTCGAATGTAATACATACATACCATGGTATGATATGAAAGAACAATTTACAAGCATATTTTCATCTCTCACCAATATTAAGCAAAAATGACACTGCATATTAGTGGTAGTTAGTTCGCGCATTACTTATTTTTTTACATAATTTGACATGTTTTAAATAAATTCCATTTTTTATTTTTATGTTAATCTTCTAGACATGATTACTTACACAAAAATTACGGTCGTAAAGTGTTATAAAAACTCATGCAAATAATAAATAATTTCGTTTAATTTCTAAGTTTTTTTTTGTAATTTAAGTAATATTTGTTGGTGAAATCTTCATGCATTATATGCCGACTCGACTTGCAATAAATAGCATTAATAATGAATGCATAGTTATACAAATTAAGATGGCAGAATCCAATATGGCGTCAGTTAATTAAAACATAATGGTCTGTTCCTCCCGCGGTCTTATTCAAGAGACGTGTGGGCCTTAAAAAAATTCAGTGGTATTTTTTTTTATAATTATGGAAAAATGTTTTCATCTGAATGCCACAATGCTTTTTATAGTCATACTACGTTTAAAGAAGGATAAAAAAGAAGGAGAATTTAGAAGAGTCATACACAGGACTAAGATTTTGAGCTTGGACGGCGATTAAGTACTTTTAAGATATGAAAAAGAGGATGAAAGAAAGGAAAATCTTTCACTTGACAAAGAAAACGATGCCTTAAACTTAAATAAAATATAGGCAACATTTTTATCTAATTTTTTTTTCATTTTTTCATATACGGCAACATTGTTTAGTTTATACACTTCATACCACACGTACACTCTGTTCAAATACTAACTAGAATTTGAATTTTCACTCTATAAAATACGGTACCGGTATATTCCGATGTTCCATTTTGAGTGAGTATTCATTTTGGCGAACAACTTTGATAACGACCAGCCGGCAAGCACCAGGCCACCTCTTCATAACTCACCCAACATCATCAAGTGTACACTTTTGCTCGAATAAATATATAACAGAAGTGGGGAAGTACGAAATTATATTATTTATTTCTTTTCTGAAGTATTACGTACCTACTGGTTTGATTCTATATGACGACCCGAAAAGTTAACACGAGTCACACCCTAAACTGATACTTGTTTGGTTGTGTCTTGCAGGTACAAGATATTTTTGAATAAAAACTATTGTGGAACATAATAAATTTATTAAAATCTAGCTTATTCCCGCGACTTTGTTCACATGGAATAGTGACATCCTGCAGATTTTTAGCAAACTAAGTCTGTACCAAATTTCACACAAGTAGGCTCATTCGTTAAGGCGTGAAGAAAAGACAGATAGACAGTTACTTTCGCATTTATAATATTAGTTTTGATAAAGACTTTCTCTTATGAGAAGCGACGGCACAAACGTCACGCATCCGATTGACACTCTGTTTATGAATAAGAATCCCGTTGTGTCTTGAAACTAGTAGAGCGTTTCTCAGTTACTTTAATTCAAGTGAGTAACTTGTTATTTTCTATTAATTTGGTATGGGACATATTTACTCACTTTCAAACATAAATAAAGAAGTTATCCCGATCGATTTTGTTCATGATGGCCAGTATGTCTATTCGACTACGCAGGAGATATTCTAGCAGGGGTAGGTACATTCCCTGTTACCTCACTCTCTGAATCCGATTGCACGGCAGGCCAACACTAAAAGTCCAGCGGATTTACGCCCTTTCCGAGTCATAGCGA